AATCTAGCGTTTTCGGGCGCATCAGGGCGTGGGTTCGTGGCCGCAAAAACGCAAGGCGTCTATTGTGGTGTGTGGCCACATTCTGCCAAGACAAGCCACTGATAAGCGTCTATGTGTGGATCACGGTGACACATTGAATGGGGGAGGAAGCAGTATGCCTTCGATTTTTTGCCTAACTGACAATGAAAGCGGTTTTTATGAATAAAGTGCTGCCTCTTTTTATGCGAGTGAGATGGTTGTGGGAAACCTCGCATTGGTAGGAATAGGCTTTTTTATGCACTTTATGCGGCGCTGCCGCTTCAGGCTGCATTATCGGGTTTGCAGTGAGATAGACGACTGAAGCCGGGATCCAACACCAGAATGCCGCATGCTTCCTCCGGATGATAGCGATGCTAAGAAAATTTATTTTGGACTGCTCCGAATGGTATCTTGATTTGGCTCCACTGGCGACTTGCCAAGGCCTGGAGCCAACAGCATAAATAGGTCCCACTTCCACGGCTTTTCAAACCATCCAAAAGCTGCCATGCCTCAGGACAACACGCTCAACGAGAAAAACGTGGTAGCAATCACAAGCATCCTCAGCTCGGGCACCCACGGCCAGACTCAGGATCACGAGGTGGATCTCCACGCTCTTACCTCGCAGGACATTGCCCTTGAGGATGTGGCTGATGGACTCTCTGCTGCTCAGAAATTCTATGTCTTGAAGCGTCTCAACCTTAACCATTTGGAGTCGCTTGACGACTTGCCGGTCACGGCTACCTTCATGTTGGAGAAGATCTCCCACTTGCCCGTGGAGGAGTCGTTGCAAATCTTGAAAAATTACTTGACTGAGCACGAGGACGATGTCAACATTCCCACCAGCGAATACGACTTCATCAAGCAGCTCTACGACGAGGCTCCTCAACACCTTTCTTTTGCGCCCGAAAAGGATGGCTCCTCCCTGGTGGAGGAGAAGAAGGTCAGTATTGACGAGAAGGGTCCTCAGACCTACACCGTCCAGAAGGGCTCCGATACCGAGTCCAACGAGTTGGAGATCCATGACTGGGAATTCCAGCTTCGTACCGAGGCGGCCATGATTGCCTACTTCTCTCCTTACCCAGAGGTGAGGTCTGTCACCAACCCTTACGATGATCCAAATATTCCCGTGGAGACTCTCAGAGTGTACCTTCTTGGTATCATCTGGACCGGTGTGGGCTCTTTTGTCAACCAGTTTTTTGCCGAAAGACAGCCCGGTATTTCCTTGAGTTCTGCCGTTGTGCAGCTTTTGCTTTACCCCTCTGGTGTCTTGTTGGCTACCATTCTTCCTAAGAAGACCATCAGACTCTGGAGATGGTCCATTGACTTGAACCCTGGCCCTTGGAACTACAAGGAGCAAATGTTGGCTACTATTTTCTACTCGGTGTCTGCTGGTACACCTTACGTTTCGTACAATATCCACGTGCAAAAGCTTCCTCGTTACTACAACAACCAGTGGGTCGATTGGGGCTATCAAATCTTGCTTATTCTTTCTACAAACTTCATGGGTTTTGGTTTCGCCGGTATCATCAGAAAATTCGCTGTGTACCCTGTGAGAGCATTGTGGCCTACGCTTTTACCCACTCTTGCCTTGAACAGAGCCTTGTTGCAGAAGGATAAGAAGGAGAGCATCAACGGATGGAAGATCTCGAGATACAACTTTTTCTTCCTTTTCTTCAGCATCTCGTTTCTTTACTTCTGGATTCCAAACTACCTTTTTGAGGCCTTGTCCTACTTCAACTGGCTCACCTGGATTGCCCCTAATAATTTCGAATTGAGTTTGGTGACGGGTTCGCTTTACGGTTTGGGACTTAACCCACTTCCTACATTCGACTGGAACGTCATCAACTACAACAGTGCTTTGATCATCCCATTCTACTCCCAGATCAACCAGTACATTGGTTCGTTCATCGGTTTCTTCTGCATTATTGGACTCTACTACTCCAACTACTATTGGTCAGCCTACCTCCCAATCAATACCTCCACATTATTTAACAACAAAGGTGAAAGATACCAAGTCCAGGAAGTTGTTAACGATAGGTCCTTGTTTGATAACGAGAAGTACCAAGAAATTGGACCACCATTCTACTCGGCTGCCAACTTGGTTGTTTACGGTACCTTCTTTGCCATCTACCCCTTTGCATTTATCTACGAAGTCTTCTGGAACTGGAGACCCATGTGGTTTGCCTTGAAGCATTTGGGTGGCTCATTCAAGAACTTCAGAAAGTCCACCTTCGAAGGCTTTGACGACCCACACACTACCATGATGAAGCAGTATAAGGAAGTTGCTGACTGGGCTTTCGTTGTCATTTTGATCATCTCCATTGTCTTGGCAATAGTCTGTGTTCAAGTGTATCCTGCTGAAACCCCAGTCTGGGGTATTTTCTTTGCACTTGGTATGAACTTCGTCTTCTTGATTCCCCTCACTGCTATCCAAGCCACCACTGGTTGGGGTTTTGGTCTTAATGTGTTGGTGGAGTTGATTGTCGGTTACGCTTTGCCAGGTAATGGTCTTGCATTGAACTTCATCAAGGCTTTGGGTTACAACATCAATGGTCAGGCCCAAAACTATATCACCGATCAAAAAATGGGCCACTATGTGAAGATCCCACCAAGAGCCCTTTTCCGCTGTCAGATGCTTTCTGTCTTTATTGCGTCCTTCATTTCTTTGGCTGTGATGAACTTCATGATTGACAATGTCGAGGACTACTGTACTCCTCAAAGTTCCCAAAAGTTCCTTTGCCCAAGTTCAAACGTTTTCTTCTCCGCTTCCGTGTTGTGGGGTACAATCGGTCCTAAGAAGGTCTTTGGTGGTCTTTACCCCTTGTTGGAATGGTGCTTCTTGATTGGTGCCCTTGCTCCAATTCCTTGCATCCTCTTCAAGAAGTATGGACCAAAGAAGATCACCAAATACTTCCAGCCAACCTTGATCATCGGAGGTTTCTTGATCTATGCCCCTTACAACTTGAGTTATTTCACCACAGGTGTGTACTTTTCCTTCATCTTCATGTACTACATCAGAAAGCATTACCAGGCCTGGTGGGAAAAGTACAACTTCGTCTTGTCCGGTGCCATGGACGCTGGTGTTGCCTTCAGCAGTATCATTATTTTCTTTGCTGTCCAGTATCATGACAAGCCTATCGACTGGTGGGGCAATTCTGTTTCCTACCAAGGTGTGGAAGGTGGATATGGTCAGCAGACATTGAAAAATGCCACATTGGAGGCTCCAGATGGGTACTTTGGTCCCCGTATTGGCAGTTTCCCTTGATACTTTTAAACTTGAGTAATTCATTAATAACAGTTCAGTTCTTCGCTGGTATGAGGCCATATAGCTAATTGAAATTCATTTCAATCCGTTGGGGAGTCCCCTTGTCCAAATGCTACTTTTGCTTGGGTAAACTCCAAGGTCTCTTTTTGCTCTAGAGCCCAGGGAGACACCATAGTAGACTATTAGAGCAGGATATCGATTTAATACCCGGATTACACCAGCATCTCAATAGGACATTTTCAGTTCTGAGTGGAAGGGCTGGTCGATTCTCTGGGTACCCTCTCCTGAGACTACGAGCCCGTCTCTGGCACGGCTCTTGAGCAAATGCACGTCGCTAAGACCCACAGTTGGTGACAGTTTCCCAAAACCCCCTTGAGGGGGTTATCAGAACACCGATCACAAACCTAAATTGGATCCCTATCTACGTCACAAAAAGCTGCCACCACCACGTTCTGAGCAAAATTGATTTTATCGACCCCGATGATGTCTGCCAGAAAAGTCACTGACATCTCGGAGAAGTAGTCCGTGTAAAACCATCAAGCACTAGATTGAAAATGCCGTTGCTCTTATTACCTTTCTTTTTTTATAGCACACTCAAGGTGTGGGGTCAGGCATGAGACATCGATAATTAAACGATCATCGACAGATAATTCCCTATACAGACAGTCCGTTCGTGTGGCACCCGGGTCCGCCGAAATGATAAGCGATTTCAGGTTTTGCATGTGGTGCAACCCCTCTACGTCAGGAAGAGCAAGAAAGCGTTACAAAGTTAGACAAAAGCAAATCGATGCCGTCGTGCCATGCAAGGACCCAAAAAGAAACCCATGCTTAAGGGTCTTTCCATATGGTGCATCACGCTGCCGATAGCGTGAACCGGAAATCCATCGATAGGGCGTTTCACTAAGCCACAGTCGTAGCGCAGAATTATCGCAGAACCCGCAGATATTGCAGCAGAACCGACCTTCATTAAGGCGTGCCGCACAAGACCCGGCATGCTATTTCCACGATAACCGCCTATCACGATTCGGGGATTATTACTTCAAGCAGCAAAAGCGGGCACGATATTGGTGTACATCGCCAGTCGCTTATGCGGCAGTGTGTCAAATTGGATATTCTACCCTCACAGATTCTTGGCAGATGCTGTCAATGTCAGCCAAGGATTGAGTGGGGCAGCCCTGGTCTATGACGTACGAGTACTCGATCTCTTGTCTTTTTTGACCAATGACCTGATTTCTATTGGCGGATCACAAAGATGGTATTTCGATAAGCATGTCTGGAGCCGCGCGATCCGCATTGTGGTAGCCACATTTGTGGTGTCTGAAGCCATGAAGCCGCATAAGATGAAGCCGTGCATGCGAGCGAGTCAGCATCACGAATTAGCGTTTGATCGTGGAATGGGGTAACTCGGCCCAACCCGGTGAAGGTGGTGAATGGCTGGAAAAATTGTGGCTTTAGAAGAATCAGCCCTTGTTGTACTTATAGTAGATGGACAATCAGAGATAGCGGTCTGCTGAGCATTGTTCTTCGTTCGCAAAGCCACACTTTCGGCCTCTATTTTGTATGAGGTGGACCGGCAAAACTTGTAAGTTGCCGACCTCATTTAGCCCACCATGCACCTTTTTTTGCAGCCACGCCGGCGCATCCATGATCCAGCATTCTGGCGAATATATAAACTCGACATTCCCTGGGTTTCTGGTCCGACGGAAAACCCCAAGTCATGTCCGAGAAACTCGAGAACATCACTAGCATTACTAGCGCTGGTGACAGGCACGATGCCGCCGACCATGAGGTGAATCTTGAGGCTGTCAGGTCCCACCAATATGGGTTCGAGACTGTTGCTGATGATTTGACCCACGAGCAAAAGTTCTATATTGTTAAAAGATTGAACTACGACAACCTTAACACCTTTGAAGACTTGCCTCCTTCTGTGGCCTTCATTTTGGAGAAAATTCAGCACTTGACTGTCGAGGAGTCCGAGGTAATTTTGAAACAGTTCTTGATTGATCATGAGGGTGATGTCAATGTTCCTATGGAGGACTATGATTTCATCAAACTTTTGGTCGACCATGCAAGTCTGGTCTCAGAGAGTGGTGTCAAGCTGAAGGAGAATTCCTCAGCTGATGAGAAACACGATGCTGTCGTGAGAGAACACTCCATTACTTCCTTGGAGTCCGCTGAGCACGGAAGAATTCATGACTGGGGCTTGCAACTTCGTACTGAAGCTGCCCTTGTTGCCTACTGGTCTCCATACCCTGAGGTCAGAGCCGTCACCGAACCATTCGATGACCCAGACACTCCATGTGAAACCTTTAGGGTTTATGTCATTGGTATTATTTGGGTTGTTCTTGGTACCATCATTAACCAGTTTTTCGTCGAGAGACAGCCCAGTATTTCCTTGGGTTCCACCGTCGTCCAACTTCTTGTCTATCCATCTGGAAAGCTCTTAGAAACAATTTTGCCAGCCAAGACTTTCAAGATTTGGAGATGGAATATCAATCTCAATCCAGGTCCCTGGAGCCACAAGGAGCAGATGCTTGCTACGCTTTGCTACAGTGTCAGTGGTGGTGCGGTTTACGCAACATACTTTATCAATCTTCAGAAGTTGGATCGTTTCTATGCTAACCCTAGTTTCAAGATTGGTGCGCAGTTCCTTATGGTTCTTTCCTCCAACTTCTTGGGTTTCGGGTTCGCTGGTATTTTCAGAAAGTATGTGGTTTACCCCGTTTCAGCGATCTTCCCAACCATTCTTCCGTATCTTGCCGTCAACCGTGCCTTGGTTCAGCCTGAAAAGAAGGAGACCATCAATGGCTGGAGGATCTCTAGTTACAGCTTCTTTTTGATTGTGTTCGGTGCTTCGTTCCTTTACTTCTGGGTCCCAGACTATCTTTTCCAAGCACTTTCCACATTTAACTGGATTTCCTGGGCTGCTCCTAATAACTTTAACGTTGCAGCAATTACCGGAATGCAATCTGGCTTGGGCTTGAATCCTATCACAACGTTTGACTGGAATATCATTAGTTTCAGTTCTCCTTTGAAAGTCCCATTCTTCGCCCAGCTTAACAGCTACTTGGGCATGTTCCTTGGCTTTTTCTTGATCATTGGCCTCTGGTGGTCTAACTACAAGTGGACAGGCTACTTACCTATCAACTCCAACCTGATTTTCACCAATACCGGTGACTATTATGCTGTTACTGAAGTCTTGAACAGCGAGAAAAAGCTCGACATTGCCAAGTATGAGCAGGTCGGACCACCATTCTATTCTGCTGCCAATATGATCGCGTATGGTGCATTTTTTGCACTCTACCCATTGAATTTTTTCTATGTCCTTCTCACTGAATGGAAGAGTATCCTGTTTGCCACTGTGTCTTTGATTAAGTCCTTCAGATTTAAGAAGAGCAGCTCGACTTACGAGGGTTTTGATGATCCATTTTCCACTTCCATGAAAGCGTATCCTGAGGTTCCAGAATGGTGGTTTGGCATTATCTTCATTATCTCGATTGTGTTTTCCATCATAACTGTTGAAGTATACAAGTTAGAGACTCCAGTGTGGACCATTTTCTTTGCAATTGCCTTAAACTTTGTGTTTTTGTTGCCCTTCGTGATTGTCTACGCCTCCACCGGTACTTCCATGTCGATTAATGTTTTGCTTGAAATGATTATTGGTTACGCACTCCCAGGAAATGGTACCGCCTTGAACTATGTTAAGACCTTGGGTACCAACATCGACTCCCAAGCTGAAAACTATATCACCAACCAGAAGCAGGCTCACTACTGGAGAATCGCTCCTCGTGCCCTTTTTAGAGTTCAGATGGTTTCTGTGATCGTCAACAGTTTGGTGTCTGTGGGTATGATTAATGTGACCTTGAACACCATCGAGGACTACTGCTCCCCACGTCAAAAACAGAAGTTCACATGTCCCGGATCGAACACGTTCTATTCTGCTTCTGTTCTTTGGGGTGTCATTGGACCAAAGCGGGTCTTTGGTGGTCTTTATCCAATCTTTCAATGGACTTTCTTGATCGGGTTCTTATTAGCATTCCCATGTTGGGCCCTCAAGAGGTACTACGGTCACACCAGATTTGGTAAGTACTTCCATCCAATTGTCTTCGCTTCCGGTATGATCAGTTACGCCCCATATAACCTTGCGTACTACACGCCGGGATTGTATGTGTCGACTGCGTTTATGTTCTACCTCAGAAGAGCAAAGCTCGCTTGGTGGAAGAAGTACAACTACCTTCTTTCTGGTGGTTTGGATGGTGGTATTGCTTTTAGCAGTATCATTATTTTCTTTGCTGTTCAATACCACTCCAAGAACATTTCTTGGTGGGGTAACAATGTTAATGACAACGTTTTGGACGCAATGGCACCAGCTAGACTCAACGCCACTATCGATGCTCCAGACGGATACTTTGGCCCTAGAATCGGTCACTTCCCATAATTTTAGTGTTAATAGTATAGTAATTTTTCGTTTTAATTTTGCTACCCCATAAGCAACCTCTCTCAAATTAGGCGAAGTGACGTTACATCCATCGGCTTTATTAAATCATGTTCGGCCGAACGCTCAAAGAGGTATAACCCGATGGTACACTTGCCATATTGATAGTTAGAGCACATCGCATATCCCAAAAAGCCCCAAAGCAAGCCCCTTTTGACACAGGTTTGATGAAAATGTAAACTCTCCCCACTAGCAAGTACCCTGATTTGCTACACTTGTGTTTAAAGTTTGGCCTAACCATATGTCCGAGGCGGATTTCGATTTAGCTTACACTGCATAAGTTACACAAACCTGTGTCGGTAGCAAAAAAAACAGATCATGAAGAATTCCACATTATTAACAAGTAGGCCTATTTTTCAAGGAGATGAAGGGAACGCTGAGAGAAGCTACTTCTATATGCTCCACTTTTCCTGAATCGAATACTCCCCCGACCTCTTCAGCCCTTCTCGAAAAATATGCAATGGAATAGCTGGCTGCTGGTTTACCCCATTCGGATTAGCTTCCATGCATGACGTCGCTCTTTTGACGTTTAGTCATTGTGCGCGATGTAAGGAACCAAAACATTGTCTTAATTTTAGTGCTGGATGTTGGGGTCTCATGCGGCATTAAGCTTTGAAATTAAGCTTGGCTGGAGGCAAAGAAATGAAGGTTGCTTAAGCGAGCTCTCCCCACCTAAGCCATAATGTTTCCATGCATTTCCTTGCGAATTCAAGTGTAACACATTGGCGTCCAGTTAGGCCCATGGCCAATATCAAAAGAATCAGGGTCCAGGCGGAAAATAAAAATAGAGAGCCATGATGCATGAGGCATCATTAGGAGTCTCTGTTTGGGGGTTCCAGCGCATGATTATGCAAAGATGCGTCAGGGCCCACCAGTGGCTTCTATAATTAGCAAACTTAATGCACATCGCACAATATCGAGCCTTCCCCAGTGCTCTACGGCGTTCTGATGCTGGGGGCACTTTCAACTATAAATTGGCCCTCTTCTTCCCTCGATTTCACTCCATCAAACTAATTCAATCACATCTCATCATGAAGTTCTCCACTCTCGCCCTTCTCACCAGCACTGCTATCGCTGCCGAAACCGTCGACCTCAAGATTGTCTCTGACAACTCTGATCTCAGCGGCAAGGGCATCCAGGGTCTCCACGAGGGCGCTGGTATCAGCTACTTCGGTGTTTCTGATCAACTCGGTGAGGAATTCAGCTACGACGCTGACAAGCAGTTGCTTACCCAGGAACAGGGTTCTTTCACCGCTAACGTTGGTGCTAGCGGAAACTTCTTTGCTGTTGGCCCAGCTGTTGAGCCAAGCCAGGTGACTTTCGATGGCGAGGGCTACCTTAGCATTGACAAGCAGCTCTACGCTTGTAAGCAGCTTAACGACCCTTACCGTTACTTCGCTGACAGCTACGGTGTTGTCGTGGGTGATGCTCCAAACGACTCTTGTGTCAAGATTGCTCTCCAGAAAGTTGGCGGTGAGTCTGAGGCTTCTTCTGCTGAGGCTTCTGCTGCTCCAACTTCTGCCCATGCCGGCTGGAACAACACTGTCACCGAGCACATCACCGTGACCGGTTACACCACCTACTGCCCTGAGTCTACTGTTCTCACCATCACCACCTGTGAGAACAAGGCCTGTGGTCCTAAGACCATCACTGTCTCCGAGGCTCAGACCGTGACTGTCACCGAGGAGTGCATTGTTCCAAAGACCTCCACCACCCCAGTTGTTGCTCCTACCACCACCGAGCCAGCTCCAGAGACCACCAAGCCAGCTTCTTCCAAGTCTGAGGTGACCTCTGCTCCTAAGCCAACCACTCCAACCACTGTTGCTCATGTGTCCAGATCCTCTGAGACCGCCTCTTCCGCTGTTGTCTCCTCTTACGAGGGTGCTGGTGTGAAGAACGCTGCTGGTGCTGTTCTTGGCTTTGCCGGTGCTGCTGCTCTTTTGATTTAGAGTTAATACTGCCGAAAACGCTCGTTGCACGCGGGCCTAAATGACTAGAATTAATAAATTGTTTATGAGAATTTGCTGTAGAATCGAGAGGGTGAAAGTGCAGACATGGAGAAGAGGATGTAGCGCAGGTATACGAGTGATACTGCCAATAATGCAATTTCAGCGCCATGAATTTTGCCAAAGAAAGAAAGGTTAGTTTCATAGAAGACTCTCTCCACAAAAGCAATAAAATAATAAAGAAAATTGTAGATTTATCTAGCGGATCCAGTGAGGAAGCTGAAGCTGGCTCGATCAGCCATTCGAAAGGTTGCAAAATGAGCCTCACCAAAATAGCTGTATCTGGGTTTTTTATCCGCCACACGATGGAGCTTGAAGCTAACCTGGAGTCCCTCTAACCTCGCGCTCTACTCACTGATGAACGAAAAAAAAAAAAAAAAAATATATGACTTTAGAAATAACTTCCCCTAGAGTATCCCGGAACTCTGAAATCGTAAGACGCGCACGTGACCCAACCACCAAATTAGAATCTCACCATCGCCTTATCCAACCTGATCCACCATGTCCAAGCTTCCTTTAAGTGTGCGTGTCACGGACACCGTGCACCGTGTTTTTGTGATGGGCCTTTTTGGCATCACTGCGGTCGGTACCGGCAGTATTTTGTTCAACATCTACGCCAACTCGGACTTCGGCGGCATGAACAAGAACAAGTTGAAGTTCAACAGAGAGGAGTTTGATGAGCTGCGTTCTCAGGCCACTGATGAAAAGCAGTGAGCTGGGAAGATCTTATGATTCATTTTGTACATAGTTAACTCGAGATACTGGACGAAAATGTAGATAGTAGGTATGACCTCATCGTGCGAGTTTCAAGAGGAGTTGCTGTGATGGAGGACGGTGTCAGTGAGTTTCTTGCGATGCTGGAAAGCTGGAAAATGTTTGCTTACCAAGGCTGGTGAGTGACGAGCCAGAGCCGCTGAATTTGATAGGACTCATTCTCATCCCGGCAAGTAAACAAGCAACGCTTCAACGTAAAGCATTTCTTGTCTTCTCATTGAAACCTTTTCTATTTCTCGAAGACTTTCCACTTTTTGCCTTGCATTTTTCGGCTTTAATGTTCCACTACTCTCACCCAGACAATGTATCTCTAGAGGTGCGAAAATCGCTGCTCAGATCTCCAACGAAGAACTACTCAATTCCTCAACACATCCACAACACATCCCTCCAATGAGTCAGCGCAAAATTGATATTCTGCAGCTCGAGCCCCAACAGATTCTTGAGATCAGGAAATCCACGGAGCAGGAGATACAACATTTCACCCAGTCTCTCCAGGCTCTTCAAACAGCCCAGTCAAAACTTCAAGACTGTGTGAACACGATAGACAACATGGAGGCTTCTGAAGGTGGCGACTTGCTCGTTCCAATGACCGCCCTGTTGTATTTGCCAGGTAAGGTGGCTCAGAAGGACCGCTTCATGGTTGATATTGGTACAGGCTACTTCGTGGAGAAGGATGCAGACAGCGCCAGGAAGGTTTACAAGAAGAAGCTCACCAAGTTGGGCGAAGACTCGAAAAAGTTGAAGGAGATTTTAGTACAGAAGAACGAGATTATGAATAACCTTACATTGGTGTTGCGCAAGAAGGCCATGGACCAACAACAGGCAGCTCAGAGCTGATGCTGTGACGTGAATGAGAAATGTTGGCAATTGCAATTGTCGTTAATAGATGCATTTATTGGAAGTGGAGACTGCTTTACGTCGCGTATGGTATTGTAGATGGGCACAATCAGCGCCATGCCAGTGCCTGCCTGGCATCAATTTTTAGACTTCTGTCTTGTCTGCGTCGTAATCCTTATTGAATATGAAAGGCTCTGTGAAAGCAGCTCTAAGATTGAGTAATTTGCGCTCTCCCAAACCCTGTATTTGCGCAAGCCCATCGTTCTCTGAAGCCTGTGCCACGATCCGTTTGAAAGACTTGCAGTTTGCTAATAGATTTGCCACATCAGTCTTGTTCACTGCTCGTACTGTAGTAAGCAGACTCACTATTGTCAGGTTATAGTCCTCTTTTTTGAGACCTTGAATGGACAGATCCACTTTGGAACGAGCCATCTCGTTCAGCTTAAAGTAGGCTATGTAATTTCCCGCCTCTTCAAACAGCCATGCCACCACTATCAGCAAATCGTGCCTCATGCAAATGCTCAGAAGTGAACGGATAGAGTCCTGCGGCAGATCAATGTCCACCACCACGAGAAGCACTCGAAGCACCTCGTCGTTCTGCAGCTCCTCGACTATCGAGCTTCCTTTCATTTTTTCAATGCGTCGCCAGACGTACTCAGGCCGGAGTTTGTGGTACTTGAGCAGTAGAAAGAGTACCTGTAACGTAGCATTGATGTAGTAGTCCAGAAGGATCTGGCTGTTGTATGCCCATGATGTGAGTTTCATGGAAGGACTTTCGAGAAGAGGATTCCCCTTCTGTGAATTTGCCACCTGAACAGCGGTGTAGGTCTGAACATTGTCCCTGATCCTCCTCGAACCAACTGGTCTGTTTGTTCTATGACGGTTTTTTTGTATTTGCCCCGTTGTATTCAAGGTGTTTCTGCCTTCGCTGCTTGAAGTTTCAGTTCTTGATTGAGCTGTTGAAGCCTGTGATTGCTGTGGTTGCACTTCTTTGGTCACCTGTGGTTGCTCTGATGGTTGATTAGATCCCAGTTGCTCAGACACACCGGACTTCGAGGAATTTGTTGCAGGTGGTGGATTTGGAGCATCATAAGACTCCCGCATCTTGCGGACGCCTTCTAGAATACTGGCAAATGACGATTGGTCTATATCATCGGGCATGTCTTAGTAGTAGCTATGCGCGATATCTGAAGTGTATCAACACTCAACTACAACTACCAGTTCCTCCTGCAAACTACAAAGAACACTACACAGCATGGTATGTGCATGAATTTCTCGTTACTCGCTCCCACTAACAATAGTCTGCGTTATTTAATTTCCAGTCGTTGCTTCTAGTCATCCTTTTGGCCATCTGTACTTGCACATATGTCCACGCTTCGTGGCCTGCTCTCTTAGACAAGAATAAGAACGGAGCATTCGGAGTATTTTGGAAGTTTGCTCGTATAGGAGAGCGCTTAAGCCCTTACGTTGCGATTGGCTGCTTCATTATGGCTTTTAACGTGCTTTCAAGCTGATCTATGTACATTAATATTACGACCATCATCTGAGAAATCACCGGAACTCATATGTCTCATTGACAGAGTTGCAGAGCACTGGCGCCCGCTCATTGCCCACAATTCTCTCGAGAGAAGCCGCGTCCCATTTGGAGAAAAGCGTTTTGACAAAGGAAAGGTCAATGTCAGCCTCTTCCTTGTACACCGATTTGGCGACGAAGCGAAGGAGTTCCTTGTAGAAAAGCGGGTTTGCCGGTGGCTCATAGATCAACACTGTCTTGACACCAGCGATCTCAAACCGCCTGAAATGATGCAATCTCTCGGTGTATAGAAGAATCTTGATCTTGCCAGTCTGGAATGCGTGACGAGTTCGGGAAACTCTAGACTGTGACAGGTACTCGTCAATGGCGCCAAAATTAAGCTTCGTATGCTGTTTAATATGATTCTTGACTCTCACGTAATCGAAGTACGAGGGAATGTAGATCAAGAGCCCGTCTTCGTACAGCGTCTGCTTGGAGATGGAGGGCAACACTGAGTTGACAAGGAACTTGAATCTGGATTCATAGTTTGAAATAGGGTCGGGCGACTCGAATCTTTGGAAAATTTGCTTGATTTTGATCCCCACGGAGTTCATGATACATGTTTGAGTGGTAATCTCTGGCTTGTACCGCGTACGCCCAGCAATGTTTTGGGATTTGGAGAAGATACTGTTGACCGTTGGCGTTGAAAATTCACTGAATACCATTGTTTGACGCATGAAGTGCAGTTGGTCATTGATAGACCACATTCTCACACGGGAGAAGTCAGCGCCATGAAAGTCCTTCGGAATTTTGTTGATATACTTGAGAACCGTGCTGACGTGATCCCAGTTTTGCATTTCAATCTGATTCGCTTGGTCTATAACAAGAACCTCAATGGATGAAAGAAAGTCGTATTGTCTTTTGGACTGCTTTGGGTCCTCAAGAATCATAGAGAGGCCAATTGGCGAAGCGATCAATACGTCAGAAGTATAAAAGGATGAGTAAAGCTTGAGAGACTTTCTTGTGAACTTCAAGCCAATGCTGAAGAAATCGTTTGAGTTACCCTTGAACATCTCTCTGAAATCCGCAGGTTTTGTGTCAGAAGGTCCGCCAGCTTCGTAAAATTGCAGCTTAAAACGTTTTCTATTCTCTTGCTGGTCACAGCCTGAGAGCTTGATAAGAAGCTCAACAAGCTCATAAGCAGCATTTCGCGTTGGTAAGAGGACCAATGCCTTTGGTCTTGTAAAGCCCTGGTCACGGAACTCAGGCTCCTCAGTGAAGCGATCAATTTTTCCATTCTTAACTTCTTCCTGAAAACGCCTGAGCTTATCATTGTTCTTCATGACTCGATCTCTGGTTTTAAACACATGGTTCAAAATATGCAATGCGTAAAGTCTCTTGTACAAGGTGTTCTTGTGAGTTCTTGATGGGAACAAGATGTCTCTGTAGGAGAACATCTCATCAGCCAATGTCTTTTCCAAGGGTTTGAGCTCGTCAGAAAAGTTCTTGAGGTAGGCCTCACCCACCCTTCTCTTGATACACTGATACTGGCCGAGCAGGCTGAGTTTCTCAAAGCTTGGAAGCGAGGGCACATCTCCAGGTGGTGTTTGCTGGATGGCTGTGTATATCGTCTCACCGACTTTGGATTTTTCGGAAATCCAGGGCTCTTTGGCTGCAAATGATTTGGCCTTCTGTTCTATAAGGTCTTCAGATACCAAATTGAAGTGACTCTCGAAGGGATCTTTTGCCAAAATGTTCTCGTTTTCGTCTTCTTCCTCTACGCCTTCGTCTTCTGACTCGTCGGCGTCCTCTTGCACGT